CTATTTAGCATATATTAACATATATAGGCCTACAATTAGTGTATGTAACTACTAACATGCATAGGAAACAACCTTAGGATGTAGGAAACACTTACAATGAAGTGTTAGAACCGCAAATAGGAGGCTGAAAGGTATTTACGGCCAAACTCTAGGAGTTCACAGCCTTTGTGGTGTTCACGACCCAAGAACACTTGAAGTGTTCACGGCCCTAGCTTGAATGGATGAAGGGTTCACGACCCTTGATGAAGGTTCACGACCCTATGAAGGGTTCACGGCCAAGAACCTTGAAGATCTTGATGAAGATGATGGAAAGTTTATGAATCAATAGATGGAATCAAGTGGGTTTTAGTGATCAACAAGAAAGGGATGAATGCTTACGTTTTTGGAGTGAAATGAGAGCCTTCTTTTGATGCTAATTTAGAGAGAAGAGGAAGTTCACGGCTGGAGTTTGAAGAAGTGAAGAGAAAATGAGCCAAAACTCACATATACAACATGAGTTCACGGCCCTAGGATGGGTTCACGACCGTGAACCTAGTTTGCGGTCGTGAACCTCTTTTGAAGGTGTTTACGGCTCGAATGCAATCCACTGATCTCCTGCTAATACTTCCTAACACACAATCCCTTAAGTGTATTAGGCCTAGAAATCATAAAATGACCCTTAACTCAGTAAAAGATAACAGAAACAAGTTTGAACATTGGATTGATTTGATTGACTTACAAGATAGAAAATTTCGGGTTGTCACAATAGTGGAACCAAGGTTTGATCTTCTTATTTCCTCAGCACATGACCACAGTCTAGCATAGTGTTCCACAATATCACCCTTAATTAGAGTCAAAGTGTAACATCTGGAGTCTTGGAGGTACTTTAACTTAATATATATATATATATATATATATATATATATATATATATATATATATATATATATAAAGGATTTGGGCGGCACAACATCGTGGTGAAGGAATCCTACGACATGGTAATGGTCGATGTACTGCGAGTTTTAAATGGCTGCCACCACGTGGCAGTCTATGGCCACGATGTGGCAGCTGTTTAATGAGAAACCCTAATATCCGGGGTTTGTGCCGTATTTAAGGGAATGTGATGGCTAGGGTTTGCTCACCCTCAACCTCCATCACACTGTCTCATCCTCCAAGCAAACCCTAACCTCCATTTTTGCTCTCTAAACTTTTTGTGTTGGTTTTTGAGAATTGAAGAAGAAGGAGGTGACTTCTAGGTTTGGATTCAACAAGCAACTCTTCTCACCATCTTATTGTGCATCTTCTGGACCCTTGTAAGTCCCCAAGTTCCAAGGTTTTTGGTCTATTATACAAAGATCTAGGTTTCTATGTCTTAATCTTCATGTCCTTGATTATTGGCTGGTGAGATCTCATAAAGTTTCAAACTTTATGAGTCTCCAAATCATTTTGGACCTTAGATGCTTTGGATCTAGTATAGCATTGAGTTTTAGCATCATGCATGGAAGATTTGGCCAAAAACCCTCATTTTGACCTAATAGAGTCCAAGAAATGCATGTCTAGAAAGTAATGATTTTATGTTGATATTTGATGCTAGGAATGTTCTGGAAATAGAGATATAGTAGTCTTCAAGAGAAAGTGCTCAATGGGCTAAGCCAAGTTATGTTCTTGCCCCTTTTAGGTCTAGAAATGGGATCCTTATCCCTTAGAGAGTCTAAAGGGATAAAGTTGGAAACTTTATCCACTTGGAGCTTAGATTGGACCAGATATGGGCTTTGGAGCCCTTAAGATAAAAGAAATCGACTTAATCCATTAAGCTTTTGGGGATCCCAGTGCCCACGGAGTGGCAGTTGGGCTGAGACTCGAATGTTTTGTCATTTGGCGACGTGGCCAAGGATGGCCACGACATGATGACCTGCTGTACTTGACTTTGACTTTGACCGTTGACTTTAACCAAGTTTGGCATAGGGGTATTTTGAGTTGTAATTGAGAATGGGTCACTATTTGTTGGATAGGTAACCGGTAGAGCTGATATTCGGAGTTGTGTCCTGTTCAGTGATCATTTCAGACTGAGAGGTGAGTTTTCCTCACTGTACTTGTGGGTCGAAGGCACCAAGGCCGACCCATTGGATTGGTATCCTGTTATATACTGATTGATGATATGCTGAGTATGCGGTAGAACTATATGATTGTATGGTAGCTGTTGATATGCATTAGACTGGTAGATCTGTAGTACTACCTGTGATTACTGACTATATGATTATCTTTCTGTTGAATATGTTTGTTATCTGTTATATGTTGACATGTTATCTTGGGGTTGAGACTATTGCTTTGTGCTGGCAGTCAACAGACCGGGGCAATCCAACCGGGAGGTTGTGGGCCAGGGTATTCCAACCGGGAGGTTGAGGACCAAGCATACTGAATTGTATATTTTATGTGTTGCGTGGTGGTACTTTGGAGGAACTCACTAAGCTTTGGCTTAAAGTTTCAGTTTATTGTTTCATGTACTTCTGATGATCGCGATAAAGTGAAGGCGTGATCGTGAACATCTTCCTGTTTTTATGATATTGGACCTTGGGAAAAACTCTGATCATGTTTATACTTTTGAACAAGGGTTTTGTAAACACTTTATGGTTGAATTGGGTTGTTTTTAAAAATTTTAAATTCACCCTGATTTTTGAGATGCAACACAAAACATGTTTCTTTGCCTTCTTACATTGACCGACACTAACTTCTATTCCAAACTTTTTCATAACCTCAATTCTTAGTTGTCTATGACTCAGTTTATGCCTATGTATAACCTGCTTTATGAAATGACTTCCAATCCAGGCATAAGTTACAATTGACCCCAATTTCAAATTCCTAGCACAATTATGATAAGGATTCAATGATTAAATTTGGAAAGATTATTCATTATACATCCATGATGCCCAAAGTCTGAATGAACAATCTCCATCACAACATAATACTAAGAGTCTTTTGCTATCATTTTTCTTGAAGAAAAGTTGATATACACTAGCAACTTCATAGTTACATAACATGCGATTTAATTGCTTTGGATTCCCAAATATCATTCATAAAATTGGTTTCTGTTTTTTCCATGGCATTTTCTTATTAAATATGTAATGTACATCACCTGCAGGGTTATTCTCACCTTCCTCATCAATGCAAATTTCATCAGCCACTTCTTCAACATTATGTGTATTTTCTTCTACTTCATCTTCCTCATCCATGCATAACTTACTCAAAAAAGCATCATTCCTAGTCTTGTTTATTTCATAATTTCCTTCATACAAGTCAAATGATAAATTGTCTATATTTATGTCCTCTTCTATTGGACCATGAATACATGATTCCACCTCATCAGGACTAACTACTTCATCTTCATCAGATTCCAATCAACCCTCTAAATCATCACCAAAGTGGTCAATGAATAGTGAAGCTTTACCTTCGCCCATACTATATGAAATATCTATTAACGGGGCATCGTCTACATTACATTTTATTTGTTGAATACTAGAATGAAAGGGCTTATTAGGGAGACAATAGTACATTTTACACAACGCACCCAAGAAACGTTCAAGAAAAGTAGCACAATCAATATAGTTCATACCAGCAAAATCGTGGTCGGTAAATACGAATTTCCTGCCTTCAGCATACTTGAACGAACATCGAATAAAATACTCGTCAAAGTGTATGTCAGCTTTCAAATACTGAGGATGCCCTTGATCATTTGCCATCGAATAAGATAATTGTTTTTTCCTTTACACAAAGTAGTAAGCGAATCTATTTCAAAGTGGGTAGGAGAATACTTTTTTTTTTATTCAGATAGAACGATAGATGCAAATCAATATGTGTAAATGAGGAGCACTCGTAAATGAGAAGAAAATCGATTTTGCCTCTCATACAAAACTTCATTATCAAGTGGACTCACAATTGCCAATTAACATGCCATGTATGATTTGTAACCGGATAGCCTAGTCAAATGGGTACATTCCCTCATTTAACCCATTATTAGAAAGTTTGAGGATCCATAACACTAAAAGATAGTAACCTCTTAAAACCAAACTTAAAAGTTTGTGCACTGTCATATAATGTTTTTACAACAAATTCGATTGATAGCACCGACAATCAAGCTTTGACAAAACATAATGATTAAGAGGCACCGACAATCAAGCTTTGACAAACATAATGATTAAGAGGGTGTTTGGGAGTGCTTATTTAAAATGATAAACTTTTTATTATAAGTATCAAAATTGAGTTTTTGAAAAAAAAAAATGTTTGGAAGCAATGAAGAGTAATGGTATAGTTATTTTTGAAAAAATTTCTATCCAAACATTAGTTTTAGCTTATACATAACAAATAATAAGTTAAAAAACTTACAGCTTGACGAAAAACCCTCTAGATTTGTACCATTTTGAGAACTACGTACAAAGCTCTATGATCAGTTCTTTATAACTTTGAAAAATTACTTTAATCATGTGATCACACTATACATTAGAAAACATAAATTATAGAATTGATGATTTTCCATGCCATATAACAAATATTAAGATTATAATTTATAACTAAAATTTAAGTATAGTGTAAATAAAATTTAAACGCAGAGATTTAAGAATTATATTTACCTAAAAGAGAAAAAACGGATACCTAGCTAGTTGGAAGTTGATGCGCATTCCTAAAAAAAAAGCCAATGGGAGACGAGCCGACCCGCCTTTTCTACCCAATTTCGAGTCTAGAGTTTCGTTCACTCGAAACTAAGACTCGATTAAGTTGAGCTGATCAAGTTAAATAAACTCTCTCATAGGAATTTAAATAGAAGCAAAGTTGTTATTATTGCAATATGGCCTCAAAAGTTTAATTACACAGGAAATGCGTCGTAGGTTCGTTTATTTATTCGAATAAGCATCAAAACGAAAGAAGCTCTTCCTTTTTTTTTTTTTTTTTTTTCTTTTACATGGAAGTCGATACTAGTCAACAGCCTGCAACACGTTTTATTCTCAAGGAGCCGTCAAACCACGACCTCAAGCCCTGGGCGCTCTTCCGCGGGAGGAGATCGAACCAGGGCTGAACATAACAGTTTCCTCCCTGCTGTACTTGAGTTTCTCAGCCTCTTCCCTTGGAATCTGGTACGCATTTGTTAGGACATCCACTGGCAACGCCCTTATGGCGGAGGTTTGTCCGGCCAAGGTGTTGATCATCGCATTGTCGTTGGTCCTGAAGGAGATCCACCTACATCCTTGTTCGTTGGCTTGTTTCACCACTGCGAAATTCTGTGGTACCACCACCAGCTGTCGTTCCTGGATCTGGTCGTCGAACACGGCTTGCCCTTCATCGTTTACTATCTGCATCCTCATGTTCCCGTTTGTCACGTAGATTATGTTGTGGGCATTCATTGTCCAGTATGGTCCCATTATAGCATTCTGCAAAGAGCAGCAACATTGGTTTTAGATCTTGACTCATATCTGATAATTCTACCAAAGTTTAAGTTTCTTACACTGTAAAGAACACCCCGCTCGGCGCTAAGTTGAAGAAGCCGGAGAATGGGTAACTTGAAGCTGTTGAGATGGTTGCAGTGGCCAGCTTGTGGGTTGTAGACATCAGCTTGGGTATAGTCGTCTATGTTTGCTCTGACCTTCATCGAGCAAATGGTCTCTTCGAAACCGTTGTCTTGACCACGTCCACGTCCGCCTTGTTGACCTTGCCATTGCTCTTCACGGCTCATCGAAGGGCTGACAACCTTAAGGCCTCTTTCAACCCTCACAATGTGACCTCTCCGGTCATCTTCACATCGGAGCATCTCAGCTGTCTCTCTATCCACATTGAATGCCTCGGCAAGAACATCCACGTCGAATCCTTGGAAAATGTTGTTGGAACCGGCTTCTAGTGATTGGCCTTGTTGACGTGTACCCCATGGGCTTTGTTGTCGTCCTTGTTGCTGTTTTTGTTCTTGTTGTGGGTTTCCGGCGAGGAAGAATCTCTGCAACAATAAAGTTCTATAATGATCAACAATGGCGATGAATCTTGAACCTTTAGGTCGTTTATGTCATCGTGTGTGTAATCGATCTACTTACTCTATGGTTTTGGTCGAGTTGGTTGGCGAAGTTGGTGCTGTCAAGCAAAACAATAAGAACAAGATCGTCTTGTCCATTGTTGTAGATCCAGTGTGCAGCTCCGGCAGGGATGGCAACGACATCTCCTTGGTGGAATTCCTGGATCTTCTGGTGGCGATCTTGGAAAGACTGGCCACCTTTACGTCCTTGAAATTGTTGTTGAGATACTTCATATGTCTCCGGGCAACCAGGCAACGTCATTCCCTGAAAACCCTCCCCTAATATCACAAACAAAAGGTTAAATTAATTCCATAAGAATCTGTCTTGCTTTCGTCATGTATTAAATATGTACCTTGTTCAACGTAGAAGAGGATAGGGGCGTTTACGTACGAAGGCAAGAGCAGGCCTTGCGGTTCTATCTGGTGGCGGATGACCTCCACGCCGGCGCACTGGAATTGCTGGTCATTTGTATCAAAGAACTCGGTGAAACCGGCTTCTGATTCGACACGCTGTCTGGGCTCGACAGCATTGATTCTTTGAATCTGGCACTCGTTTTTCTGTTGGAAAGCTAGGCAGCCATGGACGAGTAGAAGGAGGCTTAAAGAAAGAAAGAGTTTAGCCATTGTGCTTGGTGTGGAGTGATGGTGGCGATGAGGGCAGTGGTAGAATTTAAAGAGGTGGAGGGAGGGTGAGGAGTTGACACATAAGGTGGTGATGTCAGGAAAAAAGGAGCCAAGTTGCAGCTTGCATGGCATGGATGGACGTGGGGATCACACCTCATGCGGGTGGATTCTGGTTTTCCTCATCAAACGGTGGTACCCTGTATCTTTGTTTGGATTTTGTCGTCATTTGGTCTCTGAACGTTCTTCACTTGAATACGGTGATATGCCCTTATCATCTTATTTATATTCGAAGTGTATATGAGAGCAGTTTTTATTGTAGTATAGAAAAGTGCTAGATGGTTCATCGTCGAGTCAAGTTCAAAAGATTTATGGTTAATACATGGTAATCATGTATTTACAAAAATGATTTATCATAATATTTTCTAATGATTTAGCATAATATTTTCTTTCACAATTCAAAAACTATCATTATATCAATTGCCTTGTATATTTATATAGGAAAAATTAGATGTAGGAATTAAAGATGCACATTCACACTTCTGGACAATATCAGTTCGGTCTTGAAAAGTCCGGTCTTTTTAGGAATGGTTTGGTCATTTTCCGTTCCGCTCGCGGACGATCTCGGACTGTTTTTTCGGATCGGCCCTTTTCGGTTCGATCTTTTTGGGACCGGTCTCGGTCTTTATTTGATCCGGTTTCGCGGTTTTGCGTACGTCTTTTTCCAGTTCAATTAAGTTTTCAATATTTTTCGGTTTTTTGGTTTCGATTTCGAGTTCTTCTGTTAATAAGTGTGTGATTAACACCAAAATGATACATTAAGATTTAATAAAAATGATACACTACAATTTAATAAAAGAATGAAAAGAAGAAATTTGGTAATGTGATTAAAAATGTGTAATTAACATAAAAATTACATGTATATAAACTTTCGCTTCCAAACTTTTTTGAGATCGGTCTCGGGTTGATCTTGGATCGGTCTCGTGTCGGTCTGATACTTTTTAGGACTGGTCTTAAAATATTATGCTCTTTTTTTGGACCGGTCTCAGATGGTTTTGGGTCGGTGCTGTCTTTTTTCGGTCCGATCTCGTTTTAGACCGGTTCGGTCTCGATCTTTTTTCAAGATTAGTCTAAGACCGGTCTTTTTGTTCATGTCTAGTTGAAATATTGATTAGAGTAACCATTATTGTAACACCTAGATTCTTAATACAAAGTGCATCCAATTTTTTAATTTTTTTTTAAAATTTCAAAGTCGGTGTACAATCATATCATAAATCAACACAAGTAGTTATCAAGTGGATCTTACAAAAATCTAATATAAGAATCCAAGCCGATCACTACTAACTCCATTTCCTTCTACACATCAAAAGAGTAAGCTACAACGAGTTTGGTGAGTAACCAAATCAACAAAATACAAATTAATTACACAACTTAATATATTATCACATTCTTAACCATATGATCCCAATGTGTCCTCCAATCATTCGATACACAAAACAAAATTACTGACACAAAGTCTGTGATTTATCATTTATACTAGACTTACATTCAAGTAAGCTACTATCAATTCCAACTAACCTCTTCTCCGTAATAATCTACACTACATATACTACAAACTACTCCAACCAATAATTTCTCTTCTAACATTGCATCCATTCAAACTTTCACTGCAATATATTCTATTACGCGTATGATATTTCAACCACCCATATTACTATTAACTTATAATTCTCCAATGATAATATTACAGCCACCAAGGCGATTATCATAATATAATACTAATATACAAGCATCTATACATCATCATAACCACATGGTATTACATTCTCCAAGAGCACCACGAATAACCAATCCTAATACACTAGTGTTAACGTCACCAAAACCACCACTAATAACTCATTTTCAATATTGTAGTGTTACAGTCACCAATACCACCACAAATATTAGTTTGTGATATTACAGTCACTAAAACTATCATGACTAACAATATTCTTTTACATTGGTAATTCTAGCACCAAATATACCACTTTAATCCATACTTGCATCAAAGATGATATAGTAGTAATTACAACACTAAGCATACTGTATGGTCACATCTTATGATCTAATGAGTTAAACACTTTATACGCTGACCACCAGCGCCAACGCCAAAGCCAACACAAGACCTTATGATCGTCGGCCTGGAGATAATGATGTTTTGTATCTTAGGCAGTTATACATTTATGTATAGAATATATATATGATATGTAATCTTTGTGATTAGGATAAGACCTTTACTTAGATAGGTATACATCCCTTAATTAATGAGATATCAATTATGTAATAGTATATATTCAACATTATGGTGAAACTCTAATGTAATGTCTTGGTGACCGTCTTTGTGACCTTCATTTTCTTGGTGAGAACACCTTTTCTTAGTGAAAGCATCTTTGTGATTCCTCGTGTTTTTTTCCTGTTTAGTTAGTTTGTTCTTTGTATTCATACTTCAAGTGTATCCGATTGATAAAAACCTTCAATTGGTATCAGAGCGGGTTTACGATACACTCAAGTATTCATGTCGACCTATTACAATCCCAAGTCGTTTGCTTGCAACAAAATCCCTCCTTTTTATGAACTCAACTTTACTTCTTGGAAATCAAAGGTCATGGATGTTCCTGAGATCATGGACTATGACATGCTCGACATCATCAACAAGGGTCCCATCGTTGTTATGCATCGATCCTCCAATGATAGTGCATCTAATAGTGAACTAAGGAAGAAAATTGTGCCAAGATACAACAAGGAAGAGAAAAGGGTGCTAAATCTCGATGTAAATGTGACAATTGCTATTGGAAACTCTCTCCCATATTCTGCCTATTGTTTGGTTCAAAATTGCTCAACTGCACAAGAAATGCTGATCAAACTATCATATGCTTTTGATAGAGAAAATCTCTCAGATGATGAAGTTTCAAAAGGTAAGTGTCTCATGGCTCAGATCGTTGCGTCTCATGCTGATGCACTAAGTGACAACGTTAGCAATTTTGACGTTGATCTTTCTCAAGCTGCTACAGACTCTAAGTCTCAGGACTGGGACTCAGCCGCAACATATCAGGTAAAAAAACTTTGTTAACTATTCTTCCATCGAAACATTGAAAAAGATGACATCTTTACTCAGTTACGTTTCAATTTATCTGTTTCAAACAAAGAAAAATCTTCTCTCAAAATTGAGTTAGAAATCCCAAAGAAAAAATCTCCACTTTCGAAAAATCACTTTCTCATTTAAAAAGGGAAAACACTTGTATCTCTCTAACCAACAATTTTTGTCGCACTGAAAAAGAAAAAGTTGTTGATCATGCAAGAAGCATTCAACTTATTTTAAATAACCGGGCTTCTTCTCACTGTAATGTCACGAGAATTATTAATAATCAGATTCCTGATTAGTGTGAGAAAATTCTTGGATGTGATATTGAAGGCGTTGTCTCCTTAATAAAAAAGGTTGAGAATAGACAAACTTTTTATAACACTGACAGTCTAGAGAAAGATTTTAAAAATAGATTTGTAAGTACCTATTTCATAATCTAGTTAACCATGCCTTGAGAGTGGAGCTGACCATTTTGTTATTGTGGAAATCCAATTGAAATGGGCCTGAATTGGTGACTGATGGGCTGCCCATAAAAGGTAGCTTGTTGTTGGAGGTAAGTTGGGCCAACATTAGGCTGATGTGTAGTGGAGAAGTGGGTCGGCGCTGCAAGTTGGGCCAGCTGGGCTTGGTGGACAGGAAAAGTAGTAGCAACAGAAGGGTGCGACGAAGGGAGCCCACCAGGAAAAAAAGAAGGCTGCCATGCATGTGCAAGTTGTCCAACACCAATATTTTGAAGTGAAAAATTAGAAGTTTGACTTTGTGAATTTTGACTTGGATAAGAGGCCATAATTCCTGCAAATTGAGAAGTGGAACTTGAATTTATACCTGCATTGTGGTTAGTAGCGGTAGTAAAACATGGAAGTAGGCCAATTATGATTATGATTTTTATTCCATTTTTTTTTCGATTTTCCGGGTTGGTTGGAAACAGAATTAAGAGCCGTAGTGGTGGTGGCATTGGGTTCAAGTAACGTGTCATTGTTGTCCTCTCTATTTTCATGTAGTAGTGACATGTTTTTGGCTTCTAAAAAAGAGGGAAACATCTTAGTATTTCTGATCACATCAATGAAGCTTTGGTAAGAGGGAGGTAGACCACACAATATATTCATAACAAGTTCTACTTCAGAAATTTCTGCATCAAAATCATGAAGGGCATCCTCAAGGTGCTTGACATTGTGACAGTACTCATGAATCGAGGAGGCACTTTTTTGTGTTACGGAATTGCTCTTATAGTTGAAGCATTTGAGGCATCTTATTATTGAAAATAAATCTTGTAGGTTGTCCCACGTGTCTTTGGCAGTACATGAATCAGCAGTAATGATTTGTAAGACATAGGGATCACAAGTGGAGTATAACCATGATTTCATACAAGAGTCGATACATGCCAAATCTTCATCATCGTCAGCTGTTGGTTTAGACTTGTCAGTAATGTGACCACCGACTTTAGCACCGGTACAAATATCCTTAAAAATACGAAACCAAAACTTATATTTTGAACCATCAGAAGTAAGTTTGAAACAAAAATGATTGTAAACATTAGTGACAGCATAGACAAGCTGTTGTGCAGTAGGAGCTGTGGTAGAAGAGGAGCCCGATGTAGACATGAGGAATGGGAAAATCGAAAGAACAAGTAGAGATACAAAGATCATAAAGATAATCAGAAAACTAACATTCAGTATAAGGATTGTATGAAAACCACCATACGTGACCCACAATATCGTGAGTGTTGAGAAGTTGCAGGTAGTGTCGAGTAGATGGCGGGGTAGGGTAGCAGATGAAGAAAACTTGCAACATCCCAAAAATCATGACCAAAAATTTTGTTTTAAATCATTATAAAATCATAGTTATTAAAATAATTTCCTAAAAACATAAGTCATAGCACTCCAACATAAATCAGAGTAAACATCCCAGACTAAAACATCTTGGTGTGTGCAATGCAGTCATCCCAAGCTCTTCAATCTGCAACTAGAAATACCTGAAACCAAAACTGAAAACCGTAAGCACGAAACTTAGTGAG